TTTTTTTTTTTAAATGAAAGGGAAACCGTATAGAATCAGGTGCACTTTAAAGAGGGCACTGAACTATTGCACGGGCAGCGAGGTTAACTGCTTTGATTGGTTCTTTTCCTCATTCATTCCTCCAGATATTTCTCATCTCATTTTTGTTCAGTTAACTAACACGTCCTTTCATCATGGCCATTTAACCTCAAATAACTTTCCATTTAGTTTTCGTCTTTGAAAAGATCGTCTTTACTTTAGTCCTTTAACAGTCAGGAATCGACCAAACACGTCAAAGAAATAAATTGAACTCTGACATATGATTGAAGAGGTTTCAAACCCTGTCTGCGGCTCCTCCATGTACAAAGGCAACAACATTGATTACTATGATTTTTAAAAAGTATCTTTCTGAACAGCTTCTCTCCAATTGGCCACTTTACTCCGATCTGTCAAAGTTAACGCTTACGTATGACATTTAACACAAATTATTGTATATGCCTTGTCAAAGTAACTGGGTGAAGAAAATCTGAAGTCAATGAGATTAGATAATTGATCTAAAAAAAACTGTATCACAGTATACGCTTTTATTTTTTTTTTTTTCAAAATGAACTCCAACCGAATAAACACAGGAAAAATTCTAACACCGTGACATGGTACAAGAATCAGAATTATTCATATACTTCCACGTCTGGGAGTATAAAAATAGTTTTGAAAACTTTTTGATTGATTGTTAAACAATGACCAGTTACGCTGTTAATCAAGAATAATTATTTAAAAGGATTGACGGTCGTATTTTAAACACATTCTTCTGGTAATCGCTGTGTTTCAAGTGCTTGACTCAAGCACTTGAAACACATGAACGATGATGAAGAGGAGGCTGTAGCCCAGGGTGGAGTGGGTGGAGGGTTAAGGTATGACACCATCCATTATAATTATCACTACTTTGAAGGCAGCTAATTCCAACCACTGTGCCCATTTTTTAAGTGACTTAAAGTGTTCGTCACGGCGATGCTGCTCTTCTGTCGTCTTTACGTCGGGCCTGCACTTTTAGGACTAATGTCTAATTAGCCCAGAGTTTCTTGTTGTGTCCTCTCTCTCTGTTTTGTTTTGTTTTTTAGTTCCTGAGATGGATTGGCCCGGCGTAATGTTTTGGCCGTCTTCAACCTAGCAAAGCTGTGTCCTTTTAATTGGCCTCCTATTAAACGTCCAATTTATTTCTCTTCATTTCTCTACGGTTCTTGTTTTCTCGGTCCTGAATGAACCCATTAGCGGACTGTTCCCGCCGTCTGTTCCTTAGTGACTCTCTGCTGCTGAGACTGCAGTCATGTTATTATCCATTTCTATTCAATTTCCCCTCCTGAGTGCGAAGGTTTCAAACATAAATAGGCTTAACGTAAGCAAGAGGTGTTGTGTTTAAAAGAGCAGTGGTAAATACCAGCACTGCTAAATGTTTACTTCTCTCCTGACTTCGCAGTCCAGGCAAAGACGGAACTTTCTCGTATCCTTTTGTTTGCAGTACTTAACAGTATATTACAGCTTTTGCAAGAAAAAGCTGTTATGTAAGTTCACTTTACTCTGTCACGGTCTCTGTTTCGCTTTTTTTAACCAGCAAATGCAAAAATGTCTGTGTCTGTATATATATATATATCTATATAGATATATATGTGTGTGTGTGTGTGTGTAAACCACAGAAGGTTATGAGAGAAAACTCCACTTGGGAGGCTCTAGATCTCTGGTGTCTAACATACTACCCGTGGCCCAAAACCGGCCCGCAAACGGTTTTCAATCCGACCTGCTAGATTATTAGAAGTAAAAAAAAAAAAAGAAGCACAAACACTTCATGTTCATGATGTTTTGTAAAATGTTGTCACATTAAATATGAACACTTTCTTACACATTTGTACTTCTTTGCATTAAAAAAGGGGAAACACACAAAATCATACCACTCATTAGAACAGAATGTTCCAAGTGCAGCTTTAAAGATCACCTCAGTCTCTTCCACTTGCAAATTACCATTTATATTTTCCGCTCACAACCACTTAATTGTGTTTCTGCGTGAGATTTATGGAAACTATGGAATTTAATTTCACATATCCTCAGATAAACGGACGCTCTTTCTAAAGTCTTGGCTCATGTAGATAGAGAGTAATTTATTGGACTTGATGAACCCATCCATGCATCTGCTACACCTTACTGCACATGGTATTTAAGCTCAGCGTTTGTCACACACTGATTAAATTCGACCTCATTCTCTGGTGTTTCTTCTCTGTGTTCCTGCAGAATGCTGGTGTGTTGTTTAAGATCCGAGTGGTGGGAGGATCGGCAGCCTACAGTTATCTATCCCCCCAGGACAACAGGCCTCTGAACCACCCTGCAGTCGATAGGTAGGAGCCGTCAACCAATGTGTCTCCTTCCTCTCTCTTCAGCTGCTCCTTTCGTCTGCCTCCACTTCGGCCTCCTCTACTTTTACACCGACAATCTCCATGTAGTCTTTCTCTACGTCCACAAATCTCCTCCATTCTAATCTCTGTTTCTCTCCAAACCATGTCTCAACCCTTGTCTCTCTGGTCTGCTCATTCTTTACTGTCCACCAGGCTCACTCCAAATAAAAATCTCAGCATCTTCATCTGTACCAGAGAAGACATTTAGACAATTTATACGAAAATGCATTTTATATAATTACTGCAGGCTTTTTATTTGATCGATTTAAATGTGAATACGTCACTCTGTACTACTGCAGTTCTACCAGTTACTATGGCACTATTTCTGTCCAAGAAAATATTGAGGAATATGAAAAAAGTCCAATTCTTCTATAGCCTGAATAGATTAGGGTTTTGGTTTTTTTTAAATGAAGTCTTTTCCAGACAATTTCGAGTGCCGCATAGCCCCGTGATTAAATCCATTAGTATAATTCAGTTTTGTTCAGAGTTCAGCAGCACAGGAGAGAAAAAGGTCTGACGTTAATCCGGCGACAATTATTACTGTGATTTTCGTGTGTGAGTGTATAAGTTGAGGGGTTTATTTACTTGTCTGCTCTTTCATAGCCAGTTATGGTAATGGTTCCATCCTGCATGTTAACATAGTGTGCAAGTCTGACACCTAGTGGTGAAATTTGTTTACAAACATTTAAGGATTTGCCTTGACAAAAAATTTAAATTTAGATCTAGGTTTAATCTAGGTTTAGATTTTTGCACTTGAGATATGAAAAGTGACAAAAAATTTAAATGGTTTAGATTTTTGCACTTGAGATATGACGTAAATAAACTGCCAGTGAAGTGGAGTTGGAGTTTGATTGAATCTAAGCACAGCTGTGACAGATGACTTTGACTCCTGGACTAAACATTCAGTGGTTTGTGAAATCTGCCGTGGCCATCTGTCAGCGTCGTTTGGCCATGGAATGCAAGAGCACTTTAATTATTCATGTGGAGATTAAAACACTACACTAAAAATAAACAAAGCAGATATGAAACCCCCTTGATACGATGGATTTGGCATCGGCAGTGTGCAGTGTATAGGCTACTGATGCACGAAGCCGAGCCAAATACTGTGTGTTCCTGCTGGGAAAATAAGACGACATGAACTGCCTTTTGTGTTTAAATTCAAAAGACAGTGTACAGATATGGATTGTCACCACCACAATGCCTTTGGTGTGTGATGACAATAGAGATTTTCTATTACCTTGAGTGACTCCAACTGTTTTTAATTTTGCTTTCTAGCAAAGCTATATATATATATAAAAAATAACAACATAACCAGGCTGAACATCCAATAATTCTAATGTTCATCTACACATAAGTTATTTACTCATACTGCAGAAGGTGGAGTTAAACTTACACCATACAGACATTTTTCCATATCAACAAATCCATCATTGCATCAGTCACAAATATAAACAGGTGTGAAACTCATACATCCACTAGCTGTTATTTTACCTTCTGTTCCAGCAATGTACAAACATTATAAGCATTAGGGGTGGTGATTAATCATTATCACAATTAATTATGATCACAATTAATTGTGAGTAACTGAGATTAACCCACATCTTCTATCTTCTGATTCATCTGATCAAAACGGTTAATGTTTCACAGCCCTGTTATACAGTATAGCACATGTATATACAGGTCAGTCATGATTAGCTAAGTTTGTTATGTTGTGAGTTGATACCAAAACCTGACAAAACTTGATTTTCTCTTTTGAGCCAGTTTGTGGGCTCAGATTGTTGGGTCCTTGTGTTGTTGCTAATTACTGCAGAAATCAGGAGCGATCTTGCCTCTCCAACAAACAAACAAACAAACCATTGACAAAGACAAATATGAAAGTGTTGCCATAAGTTTGACCTGTCATAAAATCACCATCAACACAAGGATGACTGTTCAGGGAACACAGTGTTGCCATAAGTTAGACCTGTCATAAAATCACCATCAACACAAAGTGGAAAGATTGCGTTTTGAAAATGAGCTCTGATAATATATATATATATATATATATGATAGCGCCTTCTGTGTGAGCATGCTAATGCAGTATCTGACTAGAAGCAGGTGGTAGACAATGAAGGAACACACAGCAGCTGTGACCTGCAGTGTTAGTAATCATGCTGGACATGATGCACCAAATATATGAGGGTTTTTTACCCTACATTGTTTGAGACAGAGCGTGGAGGACAGATGGTGGAACCGTGGTGCATCAGGAAAATGTAGGGGCTGAGTGAGAAGGCAGTGAGCACAGCTATTAAAATGATGTTGAGTGGGAGAGCAGAATGTCAAGGGTGAGTGGTGATGAATGGATAGTGGTGTGAATGATGGGAGAGGTTTACGAGGCAGTAGTTGGACCTCCAGGTATGAAGGATCAGGCAGTAGTTGTTCTGTGAAAAAAAAAAAAACAGGAGGCTGAGAAAAGATGGACAGAATCTAAAATTAGCAGTTTGGTGAGCTGTTAGCTGGATGTCTCATTCTGTGAATGTTGTTGATGGATGGCAGGTGAGAGGTGGGGGAAAAAAAGACCCCACAGCAGATTGAGCATGACAGGTGTAGAGTAGCAGAAGAAAAGACGAAGGTTATGGTCGGATGAACAACAAATTTCTTCTCTTTCTCTATTTTTTCCTCTTCCGTCTTTGACAAATTTGATGATTCTTTGCAGTTACTTTCCTACACCTTTCACCAACTCCCAGGTTGCCTAGCAACCAGGGATGCAATAGCGCCACAACCCTGAAATGTTTGCCATCTTTTTAAAATATGAAATCTCAGTAGACGGCCAATAAACAGAGTAATAAGATGAGAATCCCAGCCCAGGTGAGGTGAAGCTACAGTACCTCAGTGTACTTCAACAACATTATTATGTGAGTGACATTATATCATGTCAGTGTGCAGAAAATAAGTTTTCATCAACATGAAATAATTTTTCATTATTATGTGAGTGATATTATATCATGTCAGTGTGCAGAAAAAAAGTTTTCATCAACATGAAATAATTTTTTATTTTTTTTGTTAGACACTCTCTGGACTTTCTGGCCCAACTCTTTTAATTTGGCGATCCCTTTGATGAATGCTAATTTTTAGTCGTGATTTGGCTAACCCAGAGCAAAACGTTTTTTTGTTCTATTTTGATTACTGAATGTGTTGGTGCAAATGTGCAATGTGTTGATGATTTGCACCAACACATTTTTGTTTTTTGAGAACATTGTGTTGTAATGCAGTGTTAAGCTTGTGACCTATTCTATTGTAGAGCGTTGAAGTTCTGTGGCAGTGGAGGACCTTTACATGTGAAGCTTGTCCTGGAGTGGGAGCCCAAGACTAAAGAATGGTAGGTCACCTGGTAACCTCACGAGTCCCGATGTCCTCAGAGTTGTCAGAGATGTCCTCACTGGTCCTTATTCCACAGAAATCATCCACATTAAACATGTCATCCTGAAAACAGCAGTAAAACCTTGTCCATCACACAGGGTTCTATTTAGAAAGAAATGTTAAACCCTCACAGTTTCATAATTATTACATACTCCGGCAAATTATTTCACCAGCAGCTACAGATGTCAGAAAGTGACCTCAATTATTTCTTCCATTATTTTTAATACTTAGTGACAACTCCCTCTGGTCAAGGCCTGATTGAACATCAGTTTGAAGCTGGATTTAAATTTGTGGCCTCTGCATAGCTACACTACTGCATTAATAAAGAGAGTATTTCTACATGTCATGTTTAGTTTTGAGCTAGGATTATAGATAGTCAGCTATAGTCAGATTAGGTATGTATAAGTACCCTATTTTCTGGACTATAAGTCTCTCTGGAGTATAAGTCGCACAAGGGCCCTCTAGTGGCTGTCAGTGTGAAAATAATGAACATGTAAATTTTCAGTGGCACAGGAGTAGCAGATACTGGTACTCAAGCCTAGAGTGCCCTCTAGTGGCTGTCAGTGTAAAAATGACAAACATCTGAAATAGTATATTTTAATACATAAGTCACACCTGAGTGTGAACACCAACCCAGTCATAGGATAAAAAAAAGTGCGACTTATAGTCCAGGAAAATGCTGTATATGTTAAGTCCTCACAAAGCATTTAAAAAACCAGACTGTGTTTGTGTGTGTGTTTCATCCAGCCTGTTTGGCAGCATCCAGGAAGAGGTAGTGAAGGATGCAGAGAGTGTGAGGAACCAGCAGCAGCAGCACGTGCAGCAGCACAGCTGTACATTAGACGAGTGCTTCCAGCTGTACACCAAAGAAGAACAGGTGAGTCCCAAAGGTCACGACCTCGCTTTCTACAGACGCCTTAGAATTCTGACAAGGTCAATGCCAACGTCTCTTTCATGTCAGGTGATTTGAAAACGGGTGGGTTTTTCTTTGAATTGAGGATGACGTTCTGAGAAACACACACAGTAGTTTAGGTGTGGGAAATTAATTTCTTCCAAGGTTTGTCCCTGAAAAAAGTGGCCTCAGTCAATAGAAGGAGGAGATTTTTGATTTTAAAAAATGGAGACTGCAGATCACAGAGAATTATTTTGAATGTTTCCTTGTCCTTAGATCTGAGCGTCCTTCGGAATGTATAATATAAAGACTTGAGAAATGAATGACAAACTACAGAAGATGAAAGAGAATTAATGCATTTGACCAAATATGAGGACAGGTCAGAGATTCTTCTGTTTTTTTTAATTATTATTGTTTTTGAAAATAACTAAGTTACCTCAGGAAAGAAGAGTTTCTTCTTTGTAGAATTCTGGAGGCTTTAAACTGAGGATAAATTCTCTTCCTTATAGACTACATGCCTACACACTGAACATCAGTTAGGATTTACTGCAGCAAATGTCAGTGAAGTTAATGTAAATGTTATCAATGGCTTGGTTTCTTTTAAATTATTTTCACTTTGCTTTTCATCAGATGAGAATTCTTGACTAACTGCACTTTTTATCCCTGCAGCCAGTTATTGGAGAAGGTGTGGGGCAAGATATAGTATTCTGCAGCCAGTTATTGGAGACAGTATATAAGGGAGAAGGTGTGGGGCAAGATATAGTATTTAATTATCCACCCATCATTGTATGCTTATCCGGGGCGACTTATGTAGGCTATGTTTTGTTTTTTTTCTTCTTCATCATGCATTTTTTTGGCTGGGGCGACTTATACTCCGGAGCGACTCATAGCCCGGAAAATACGGGACTTTCCCGTTACAGTGTGATAAGATAATGTTGAGTCACAGCATTTTTATTTTTGACAAATACAGTTGTTTCGTCGAGGCTCAGAAAAATATAAATCAGCCTTAAAAGGAAACACGACAGTTGTTTCATCGAATATAAATCAGCCTTAAAAGGAAACACAAACGTGGCCTTAACGCAGACTCGTGGGTCTCAAAATAAATTGACTCAAAACACTTACCAGGGTGTATAGGTCAAGGTTTCATCAAAGTGTCCATTAGTGTGGAATAAATAGAAGTTACTCTGTAGCCCGAACTTTTTTCTGGTTCATGTCAGGAATCCACTGACGCCTCTCACTTTGCCTTTAGCTGTCAGTATGAAGACCCGCAGGGTTTTTCTCAGGGGCTCGTATGGCTCTGGGCTGCCATGAGAGAAACAGAATGGTCAGACAGTGTACAGATTATTAACTCCCAAATTAGTTTTATTTGACAACTGTTGAATTCTCTGACTAATTCCAGCTCGATCCTGACGATGCCTGGAAATGTCCCCACTGTAAACAGCTGCAGCAGGGCATGGTGAAGATGAGCCTGTGGACGCTCCCTGACATACTCATCCTCCATCTCAAACGCTTCAGACAGGTATGTCTGAGTTGCCTTAAAGAAAGTCAGAGATTCTGTTAAAAGTTTCACCATCGGATACGTCTGCACATATCAGTATATGTCAACTTTAGAAGGATCACATTCCAGATGCTAACTGTCATCTCCTGGGTTCTGCTCCTGGAATTTGAAGTTTTTGGGGGTTTTTTTATCCATTGCTTTTCATGTTTTATCCAGAAAGTTTTGGGGTCACGTGAGTGAACTGCTCATTACTTATTGCTACATATCTCTGTGTGAAAAGTCTAGTCCTAAAGTTCATAAAGAAAATGTCCACATTTCCAACACAATAGATTGAAGAAATGTGGAAAGTTCTTTATCTCAGGAACCGCTTACAAGAGGATTAAAAAAAAAACCCACTCACCTTCTGAGTGGATCCTATAGACCTTTTCACACACCTGGCATTTCAATTCATACGGACGCTCTGTTGGATGGTAACTGAGGGCAGTAATCTGCAAAAGTCTATAATAGAGGCAGCCTGCAGAACTACCTCGCTGCTCAAGACACTTGAGAAATGAAAACTAATAGGAAATGAAAATTCTCACTGTGTCATGCTGTGAAAATGATTTGACGGTGAATTCTTTGAACATCTTCTCAAGAACAAGGTCAGAAAAAGTAACTCGCAAACACATCTCTACGGAAACATTGCTGCCACACTAAGAAAAACAACATTGGATCAGTATTACGTAATTATGTGATAGTTTTCAAGTAATCACGTGAAAACCCGTACTACTCTTACAGCCACAGAGTAAGCCATAGAGACTGCTCTCCAAAATCCACACATACTGGAATTTGTTTTGCAAAAAAAAAAAAAAAAATTCATACCAACACGTACTGTATGAATGATTGTAGCTAATGGAATTTTGAACGCACGTACTGTATGGATGATTGTAGCTAATGGAATTTTGAACGTTGAAACAGGTCGGCGAACGGAGGAACAAGCTGTCAACCCTGGTGCGTTTTCCCCTGACTGGCTTGGACATGGCTCCACACATGGTGAAGAGGAGTCAGAGTATGAAGAACCTGAACCTGGGGGGCTGGACACCGTCCTGGAAGCAGGGCTCAGCACAACACCACCGGCCTTCTGACATGGCCCTGCCGCACGACTTTCAGTACGACCTGTACGCCGTGTGCAACCATCACGGAGGAATGCACGGAGGACATTATACAGGTGTGCATCTCTGTTCAAACTGTTTGTTTTTTTTTTATATATGATTTAAATGTATATATATAGAAACAAAGCAGACGATGTGAAGCTCACTGTCAAAACATGAACACGCCTTTATAGGAAAACTAGCTCTCCTTCTCCGTTGGTAATATACAGAGCTGTACTAATTGCTCTTCACAGACTCTCTCTGCAACAATAATTCAGTAAAAGCCACGCAGGAATTTAAGCAGTATGTGGGGATATACGCAATCGCAGATTGTCAGAGCGGAATATATCCACAGCCTAATTACAATAAAACAAATAAATAAATAAAAACATTTTTTCTTTAAACTTTAAACTTAAAATCATCTATGAATTATTAACATTTATTTATAGTAAATACTCGTAATAATTTGTGTGTGGCGCCCGCAGGTACAAAAACAAAACCAGAAGCTGATTGGAGCTGAGCATCATCAGGGTTTAATACACTTCATAAACCAGTTATATACTGGAGTTGATCATGTTTCAGAACAAATGGGGTTTATGTAAACCTTCTGACCGCCTGGTATCAAACCGCCAACCCGCCAGGTGCACCACACACTCATTCATATCATTCACTCATTCTCAGTGTACACAGTTACATCCCTGTCTGGCGATGCAGGAATACAACTTCTCTAAACAGCAGGTTTTCCTCCCGCAGCAGGTGTCCGGCAACTAGATGGAGACCTCCTGTTGTTCAGCCTTGTTTGTTTGTTTGTTGTGTCCCAACTCGCATCACAGTTAAAGATGAAGTCTAGACCACAGCCCTGCGGTTGCCTGTGCCGTGAAGGTTAGAGCGAAGTTCTCCCGCTGAAGCTCATCCCAGAGTTTTCCAGAGTTTTTAACGCTTGTGTTTAAAAATGTATGGAGGTTTTTCATCATCATTAAAAATTTAAACTAAGCGTTCTTTAAACTTAGTGAAGAGGTCGCTCAAGTTCATTTCACATTCTCTTATCAAACTTTAGACAAAGGAATGTCTTTTGAAAAAATTCTCATCCCTCACTCCTGAGCTCAGCATCTTGTCTGGAGTTTTTCAAATAATATGTTTTTGTCTAACTCAAAATGTTGCGTTCAGATTCACCTGTGATAGAACCATGATAAAAGGTCAAAGTGTGCACTTGTCATGAAAAGGAAGCAGGGAAAACACTTGTTTCCAAAGCAACACAAAGTAAAACCTGTTGAAGCTCCAGAGACAGAGACTCGTCAGTCTTTTTTAAGAGAAAAATCTATTTTTTTCTATTTTGCCAAGGTAACATTTGTGTTAGCTCTGAGTGGAACGTGTTACTCGTTCTGGTAACCTGAGGAATGCGGGAATGAGTGAAAATAGTCGATCAAAAAGTTGTCTGTTGAGAACGGTTT